ATTCCTTTGGCGCAAGTCCATCAAGGTGGAAGGAAAAAAATGGTGAGCAATTGCGACGTTTTAGCTTAAACAAGTTTGATTCCTTGAGAAGCTCTTGTATTGACAAGTTGAGTTCATTTTCCTATCCTGAGGATCCAGGAGCTTCCATGCCTTGTTGGATTTGTGATGATGAAGTAATAAACTGAAATCTTCCCTTGATAAACAAAAAAATGTATAGTGTTAGATGATGTGGATTATGAGTTGAGTTTTTGATAGTGTTGGGGATGCGGCTCAGATCCTGCCGCGCGAGTAGAACGACCTAGAGACTCCCGCGAGTGCAGACGTGTCCGCAAGCAAATGAAGCGTTAGGCGGCGCCGTTTCACTTTACCCAAACCGGCATCGTTTCACCCTGCACAAACCGTCGTTGTTTTGGTTAGTTCGCACTGGGAGAAAGAGCCGAGAGGAACGGCGTCGTATCCTCTGAAGGAAGAGTCACATCCTAGTCCTAGTCTAGGTATAATTATGGCCTAAAGCATGGCCTATGTAGCTGACACACGTAGTGGTCTTGTCGCATTAAATATCCACTTACCACAATGTACTATAAATAGAGCATTTACTACGGTAGGTAAGAGATCGACTTTTCGACTCTCTCACATATACATCGACTTCTCTCTCTAGAATCCGACTCTCTCAACCTCATTCCCTAAGGCTCTTCGCCATTAACAGATTGGAGATTCACCCTGCCAACTCTTCTATCCCCACATTCACGGAGTCTCACTCCTACCCTCAGTTAGACTCAAACAATTGGCGCCCACCGTGAGGCCAGTAGAGAAGCAGGTGAAAAACTGGAAAAAAAAAACCAATCGATGGCGGAACACAACCCCAGCAACCCTAACGAAGCAACGCCCATCAAGGCAATGAAAAACCCGAGAGAGCACGCGGAAACCAGCAACCTTAACGCGGTGCTCATTGAAGAGGAGGAACCCGAGCTGACAACCAAGGAGATGAGGCAACAAATGGCTAAACAAAATGAGGTCATAGCCAATATGCAAAAGAAGATGAACCAAGTCATAGCGCTCATGATGAGCAAGGAGGCCACGCCACCAACCCCCACAGAGCACCGCGTGCCACCACAGGCGGCTGATGAAGAGTCAGCACCTATTCCCCTGCAACAACCAATGCCGAACGCGCCACCCGCGGACGAGGCGCAACAAACGGAGCCACGCCCCAGAGCGGACCTCAGTTTCCTGGAGCAACACTTGTCTCCGTAGTATCGCCCTCACCCGCCTCGGAGAGTCCTCCATCAACCGCTAAGCGCGGAAATCATGGCAGAACACCTAAGTGGGATGCCGCCCGCCCTCCCAACATATAACGGGACAACCGACCCAGAAGATCATGTCAGCACATTCTGTCTTAGGATGCAACTCCAAACCAATTCCAACGCGGCACTATGCAGAACCTTCCCATCGACGTTCTCCGCCATATGCCTCGACTGGTACAACAGGCTGCCCAATAGAATCATCCGCTCATTCGAGGAGTTCATTCTCTTGTTCACCACCAAGTTCGCATCACAAAAAAGTAGACCACTCCACCTTAAAGCCCTGATCGACATCAGGCAAAAGGATGGGGAAATTTTGCGCGCTTTCTACGCCAGGTGGTCCAGGGTGGCAATGGCCGTGCGGGACCTCACGCCCGAAACCGCCGCCCATCACCTCATGGACCCCACTACCAACATGGAACTCAAGGAGCCCTAGCAAAAAGACTAGTCACTCTTTCAACGAAACTGGAGGTCAAAATTGAGAAGGCCATCACTCTAGAGGAAACTCTGGGGGCGGGTTCTATCAGGCGCTCCGAACCCTCGAAGCCGCCCAATGAAGATCAGGGAAGGAAGCCACTCCCGTTGACGCGGGAGCAGTTGGTACAAGCGCACAACGGACGTCATAGAGTACGCACACCGCCTGGGGGGCATGGTGTACCCGCGAAACCCAAAAAATACCCAAAATTCCAAAGCTACGCCGCGCAAAGCCATCGAAGGCGCAGTGGAACAAGCGAGGAGCGCGCACGATCGTGCCTGACGCCCGAGACCAAAACAGGCGGCATCACAGAATGGGCCACGGGCATGATGTACACGCGGAATGAAAAAAGGTACCCAAAAACCGAAGCTATGTCGCGCAAAGCTATTGAAGGCGCAGTAGAGCAAGCGAGGAGCGTGCACTACTGGGCCTGACGCGCAAGACCAAAACAGGCGGCATTCACAGAATACCCCCTGATGGGGGGCAATTGTTGGGGATGCGGCTAAGATCCTGCCACGCGAGTAGAATGACCTAGAGACTCCCGCGAGTGCAGACGTGTCCGCGAGCAAATGAAGCGTTAGGCGGCGCCGTTTCACTTTACCCAAACCGGCATCGTTTCACCCTGCACAAACCGTTGTCGTTTTGGTTAGTTCGCACTGGGAGAAATAGCCGAGAGGAACGGCGCCGTATCCTCTGAAGGAAGAGTCACATCCTAGTCCTAGTCCTAGGTATAATTATGGCCTAAAGCATGGCCTATGTATCTGACACACGTAGTGGTATTGTCACATTAAATATCCACTTACTACAATGTACTATAAATAGAGCATTTACTACGGTAGGTAAGAGATCAACTTTGCGACTCTCTCACATATACATCGACTTCTCTCTCTAGAATCTGACTCTCTCAACCTCATTCCCTAAGGCTCTTCGCCATTAACAGATTGGAGATTCACCCTGCCAACTCTTCTATCCCCACATTCACGGAGTCTCACTCCTACCCTCAGTTAGACTCAAACAGATAGCATATACGTCGTGATAAGTTTTACTAATAAATGACAAGGCCATAAATAATTCATAATTAATGAGACGTTAGCAATATTCATTAAATTTTTGCAAATTAACTAGTATGAGATAGGGATGGCAATAAAACCCGAACCCATGTGTACTCATCCGACCCAACCCGGTCAACGCGGGTAAAACCCATGTTGATGGGTTTTGGGTCGGGTTCGGGTTTAAACCCGCTGCACTATTCACCGGGTCGGGTTGGGTTTGGGTTTAGGTAAACCCGCCCCATGGGTACCCGCCCACACACATATAATTACTTTTCTGATATATTTAATATTCTAAATAATATATCTTTCTTAAACAACTAATATTATTTATGTTTGTGGAGACATGTATAATTTGTTCTTTCTAATTGGTTAGAATGAAGTTGATATGATGAAGTGGAGAGTGAAGAAACTTAGTTGACGAGGAAGAAGCTTTCAATTAATCTTATTGTTTATAGATGTTTATCTTTAATTTTGAACAATTTGTATTGATTATTTGCGGTTTGCTTGTATGCTCTAGATTATTGTTTTTTGTATGATTAATTTGTATGAGAAAATTGATGTTAAACTTTTATTTTGAAAGAAACTTGTTATTGTAAATTTTTTACCACAAAAACCCACGGGTACCCATGAACCCGCGGATACCCAGCGGGTTGGGTTGGGTTTGAGTTTTTCAAACCCAACGAGTTTTACCCCGAATTTTTTTAGCGGATAAACCTATGGGTTTGGGTTTGACAAAATATGTCCCAACCCGACCCATTGCCATCCCTAATGATTTTGTTTATTATAACAAAACTGCATTATGTGTACTCAATTACTCATCCCACAGGACCTTAATGACACAGGTACTCGCCTACTCGGTAGCTTGGCAAGCTAGTTGGGAGTAGTATTCCATTTCGTGGCACATGATAGTATATTGAGTGACAGACATGTTATTATGTTTGGAAGAGCGTGTATTTTGCTAATTAAAGAAGTTGCCTTGTAATGAAGGTTCCAACCCGTACGCACGCAACACGGTGATTCCGTCCCTTTGTCTTAGGGATACAAATGCTGCTCTGCATGTGCCACTGAATTAAACTACACAACACAAATTCCACACACTAAATAACTAATTAAAGCTTTCATTACAACCAACACAGCTTAATGAACAAACTAATTGCCTTGCGGTTGCGGGTAAGGCTGGAAGTTTGGTATCGATATGTGCGAAATACCGAATGTCATACGAAACTCGTTTATATTTGGTATTATCGAATACATGTATTATTTTGTGGGATTGAGATTTGGATAGAATTTCAATTGTTATTCGGTATTATGAATTACGGGATTGTGATAAGTATATACCGAAATACCGATCAATACCGAAATATAAGCTAGTGTGTATTTCATCCTCTCAACTATATTCTCTCATTCACTACTACGCGACCCTCAACCACCAAGAATGTCATTTAATTATACATACATAGTTCATTCCATCACTATTTCACACTAATATTAGTCATCTCTCAATCTCCAATTCGTCAAATTAAAGATTATCACTTACAAGAACTTGAGATATTAGCTCTAGGCAACTCAAGACTCTTTGCTTAGTCTCTTTGCCCTAAATTAAACAATAAAATCTTTTTATATATTAAATTATTAATTGTAAAGGTAATTAATTTTGTATTCTATAATACCGATTGGGATATCGAGGTACCGATTGAGATACCGAAATTTTTAGAGATTGAAATTGATTTTATGATATAATTCGGTATTCGAAATTTCGATATTTGGTACTGGAATATCGATATCGTACCGATTTCCACCCTACACATATGTACAAACTAGTGGAGGGGAAAAAAAGAAGGCCCTAAAGGAAAGGAGAGCTGAAATCCGATCTAAGCCCACCCTGTCCCTCCCCGAACAGCTGGAGATAGCTGTCCATCCAATCTCTCGCCCATGTGACCCCACTGCATCCCACATTCATATTCTCTCCTCTTCTCTCCTCTCCTCCATCTCAACTTAACTTAATTTAACTCTCCCAATGTGGTATATTTATTTATTTGTGATGCTAATATCAATATACAAATTTGCAAACAAACACCTCCTCGGCCCCATCCATGTTCCAATCCCAAAAGCATATAGCAACGCTGAGCAGCTTAAAAATGACCCCCCCCCCCCTCTCAAAAAGTATTATCATCATTTCATTTCATGCTCTTGTTCTCTCTCTCTCTCTCTCTTCGCGTCCATTTCCATAATTCAGTCTCATTCCCTTCCTTCCTATAAGGCTAGAGCTTCCTAATAAGTGCTTTCTGTTTAACTCCCTTTTCTGATGCGCTGCATATATATAACAACCACACCCAACACCCTTCCCCCCATTCCTATTTTGCTGCTTTTTCATCCTCATAACCCACATCTTCAGAATAAAAAGGAAGAAAAACCTCTCCTAATTTCAATTTTTTTTCTCCCCTTTCATAAGTTCATCCGATCTTCTGCTTCTTCTTCTTGATTCTTCTTTGCTTTGATCGATTCATAACATTGCGCATTATCCCATTCTGAATTGTGACTTCCAACTCTCCCTCTCCCGCAAAAAAAAAGCGCCATTGCAGGTCCGATGGCGCAATTGCCTCCCAAAATCCCAACCATGTTGCCCTCGTGGGCGGATTTCTCGCCCGAACACAAATTGCATTCCCTCGCCGCCGCCATTCCGCCTTCCTCCGCAGCAGCTCACAATAGCAATAATAATAATAATAATAATCCGTCCTGGGTTGACGAGTTTCTCGACTTCTCCTCCACCAGGCGCGGGACCCACCGCAGATCCGTCAGCGATTCCATCGCTTTCCTCGAGGCGCCAATGCTCGACGACTGCCGCGCCACCCCTCCCGCGCGCCAGGCTAACAGCAACAACCAGCAGCAGCAGCAGCAGCACGATTTCGACAAATTCGATGACGAGCAGTTCATGTCCATGTTCTCCGACGACATCTCCTCCAACCCGGTCCCCGGTCCCAACAACTCCTCCTCCAACCCTTCCACGCCCTCCGATCACAACAGCTTCAACGACGAGAAGGAAGCCCTGCACCACAATAATAATAATTTCATCCGCAGCGGCGAAGCGGACGATGCTCAGAGCCCCTGCAATTCGGATTCCCAGCAAACCACCACAACCGGGGACCGTACGGTCGACCCCAAGAGGGTCAAGAGGTTGCTTAATTACCATTCATTCATTCATTCATTCATTCATTCATTAACCCATTAATTAATATTTACTGAATTGGGTTTCCTATGATTTTTTTTCCCCCCGCAGAATTCTGGCGAACAGGCAATCGGCGCAACGGTCACGGGTTAGGAAGCTGCAGTACATATCGGAGCTTGAACGGAGCGTCACTTCCTTACAGGTAATTGCGCGATTTCCTTTCCTTCCAGATCTGGATGGTGGTAATGGCATTATTAATTAAAGATAAATCAACTAATTTGTGATACAGGCGGAAGTATCAGTGTTGTCGCCTAGGGTTGCATTTCTGGACCATCAGAGATTGCTTCTCAACGTGGACAACAGCGCTTTGAAGCAACGCATTGCAGCTCTGGCTCAAGATAAGATCTTCAAAGATGGTCAGTCAGTCTGTGTTCTCTCTCTCTTTTTTCTTACTCCCTTTTTCTTGATTATTGTATGCCATTTCCTGCTCGATCTGCATTAGTATCATTCAATAATATGAGCTTAAGTTTACAAAAGAATAGTAGAATTTCGATGGGTTTATGTTATTTACTGCGAATATGGTGGTAAAAAGAGTAAAATCTGGTTTGAGGAAATATATGAGATTGGGGGGAGGAGAAAGAAAGCGATGGAGCGAAAATAGGGAGTGAATGCCAACTGTTGCCATAAATTAGGGGTGGACACTGGACAGTTTAGATATGACAAAATCTGTATATTGGCAATAAATGAGGGTAGGGAGGCTATGTACTTAGGATCCCCAAATTGTTATCTGCAGCAGCAGCAGCTTACCTCCATTTCTCCAACTCTCTGGTTTTTTCTTGATTACACTTAACAGCGCTTTAATCTCTCCATGGGCTGCACTGCTAGCTAGTTTATTGTTCATGGTCCCACCATGTGTATAGATGCATGGTGGGTTTGATTCCCCTGTTTTCTTTTTCTCTGGTTGTGAAACGGAGAAGAGAAAAAAAAAAATCATGGTGGATGACACCGTACCGAAGATCGTATAGGAAAGTCAGCGGTATGGTATTTTATGTTAAAATCGTGGTTTAACCGTAGTTCATTTGTTAGTATCGTTAAATACCGCCTATCGGTTTAGCCTCCGATATTAGTATTTTGTGGTTGAACCGCCGGTACAGTACGATTTCATGGACCATAAAAAAAACACGTACGGTAGCTAGCTAGCAAGAATGGAGCAATTGAATTGAATGTAATAAGTGGTTGAGTCTTCTGGGCTAGGGCACGAGAGTGGTGCAGGCCATGCATGTGATGAGCAGACACAGCAGCTAGTCGATGAAACTTTAACTTGATGCGGTCTGTTATATATATTTTTCTACTGTCTGTAATAATAAGTGTTATTTATTTATTTAATTGATTGTGCAGCTCATCAAGAGGCACTGAAGAGGGAGATAGAGAGGCTGAGGCAAGTTTACCACCAGCAGAACCTCAAGAAGATGGAGATCAGCAGCAACGACGACAACTCAGCAAGCCAGCATCATCAGAATCATAACAGTGAACAACCCAGCAATAATAATATTGCGGCGGCAGAGAAAGAGCAGCAGCTTCTTCAGGTTTAAACTGATCTGCATTTTGATCCAATACACATGATAATTAAACGCAAGTTTGATGAGGAGATGGTGGGAAGGAAAGGGTGTTGGTTTGGTTCATTTCACATGCGTTATCGTCGTGGCTGGCCGGCCAGTGGCTTTGGTGATGGTGGAAGTAAGCTTAATGATTAGCTAGTTGACTCATTCGGTATTCGGATTAATTAGCTTCTGGGGAAGGGAACTATCATGACAGGGGGAAAAAAGAGAAAAAAAAAGGGAAAATTTATTCTTATGGAGAAAAAAAAAAATGCAGTCTTTGTCAGACTTCATGTGCAGTCTTTTTAATTAATTAATTATATATTTTTTGTGTTGTATGTAATAGTAAGTAGAGTGGGAACTGGGAAGGGAAGGGAGGTGAAGGGAAAGGAAGACAGGGAAGGTGGTGGGAGCTGCTGCTGCTAATGATCGATCTATCTATCTATCTGTACATTCACGTGATATGTTGTACAAGCAGCAAGAATCAAAATGGACCACTCCACTCCTCTCCTCTCTCTCAGATTTACATGTATGATTGGGAACCTCAGAACCCAACTACATGTGCCTCCTCCTTCATCACTTGCCTTCTTTTATTTAACCATTTTCTCCCCTGTTTTCTCTTCCTTTTTAGTTGTTTTTTTTTTCCTCTCCTTTTTAAATTTAAATGTACTTCATTCATTAATTGTTTCCAGACCAGAAGGAGAAGAGGGTAGTAGTGTAGTAGTGGTGGGATGTGGTATTGTGGTTTACTGATTTTTTTATTTAATGTTGCTGGTTCCTTTTTGGGTTTACTTTTTAGAGAAAGAAGAAGAGTAGGAAGTGGGTGTGATTGATTCTTTTCATGAAATGTAGTGGACAAGTGTTGTTTCTGTATTGTATTGTTGAGATGGATGGATGTATGGGTGTATGAAAAGGGGCAAGATGTTTGTCAGGGGAATTCCCCTCATTTGTTTTTGTTCCTTTGTTGCTGCTCCCTTTCATCACCCCATCCCCCTCTTCTCATTGCTCGTCTCTCTTTCTCATTCTTTGTGCCCTTGTTGTTTTTTTTTTCTTTGGGTTAATTGCATGGTTGATCACTGAGATTACAAAAAACGTTCATGTTTGGTCACTAGAAATATTTAAATCCAATATTGGTCACTCAAATTAGTTAAATGGTTCAAGTTTGGTCACTCTCCGTTACCTTCCGTTAGTCTCCGTTAACACCGTCAATTATTTGCTGACGTGGCTAACAGACTCACCTAGTCACCTATTTTTGACAAAAATAAAATAAAATCCAATCCTGCCACGTCATAAAAGCCCGCCACATCATAAAAACCTGACCAATGTGACCCAACCCATTAACCCATGATTTGACCTACCCCAAATTAAAGCCCAAAATTGACCAATCCGCAAAATCCCTTGCCCGGAGAAGACGACCGGAAGAAGCTATTGCCGCCGCCCTGTCCAATCCGCTGGTTTCCCCTCTTCTCCTTCCTTCAACAAAAACATCAACACCACGAGCACCACCATCTCCGACCCTGGCTGTCGTTGATCTACCATGATTCGTCCTCTGTTCCCGGCTTCTCATTCGTCAATGCAGCTGGCGAATCTACTCAGCTACTGCCACGCCCCCATCCAGTCATGTCACCGCTCCACCTGTCCAGACATGATAATCATAAGAGAAAAGAAAAAATACATCGCCGGACAGTGGATAACGGGCATCCATGCAACAATCAACGCTGGCGATCTAACTCCCAGCGGTCACCAGCGGCGGCGACGACAGTCAAAAGCAGCCATCCAGAAGAGGATGAGGGCTAAGTCTGGCCAATTAAGAAGGAAACCAGTCCCTCTCTTAATCGATATGTTATGAACTGTAGTGGCTTTGAGAGTTGAATGAGGCGAGGCTATGGGGAAGTGGGACTCAAGTCTCAAAGAAGAGAACCAACAGCAGAAAGCCAATCTGCTTTCAATGAAAGAGAAATTAAAATGAACCAAGAACAATAAAGATAGGCAAAATCCCTAAAAAGAACATCTTAACTAACAAGACAAAGCGAGAAGCAAAAACAATAAACAAAGGCCTTCAACTCCCTCCTTGCTGCCTCCTAAGCTCTTCCAGTAGATGACAAGTTAGGGAGAAGCAGATCCAGTAAGATAAAATAGAGGAAGAAGAACCCAAAAGAAGGCTCGTGTTCCTCAAGCGACTGGTAATCCCTAGCTCGCTCCATCATCTGACTTCGACACCGATGGCATGCGTTGGAGGTTGGGGGATAGCTGAGGATGCAGCAGCCGAGGGATTAGTGGGCAGGGGGCAAATCTGTGGTGTAGGAGGGGGAACAACGACTAGGTCGGGAGTGGTGGTGCAATCAAGGGATTGGGGCAAGGGGTGAATCTCCGAGAAGCACGAGTTCTTCAACCACAACCATTTCGTCATCCTCGTTCTCATCATCGGCGGGGAAGACGATTGAAGAGGGACTAGTGCTCCCTTCCTCCTCTCTCCACCTTCCTCGAGAGTTTGGAATTGGGAAGGAAAAAAAATAGGTAGTAAATCTCACTCCGGGCGAGACAGCTAGCTGAGAAGATCTATGTCGCCGATCTAGATCTCTAACTGCAGAGATGCCAGCAGCCACTACGAAGGAAAATGGGGAGCCCAGTTTGAGGATGGCGAGGGAGTGAGGGGTTTTGACGGTGACCCGGTTCTGGAGCCGAGGGAGACGCCGAGCATGGATGGAATAGAGGGCTAGGAAGTAGAGACGCAGAGCATGAGAGGAATGTGGCCGGAACGATTCAGATCCGTCGGTTGGAAGTCGGAGAGAGGAAGATGGTGGAAGTTGAAGGGAGTGGAAAATCGACGAGGGAGATTGGAAGGGACGATGGAGGCATTGGGGATGGTCGATAGGAGGGATTGAAGAGACTGGTGGGGAAGATCGGAAGATTGGCCGACTATTTTTCACCAAGAGAGCTAGAGATTGGAGAAGAAGGGAAGAGGGAGTTGGGTTGGGTTGGGTTGGTCTAGATGACATGGCGGCTCTTAATGACGTGGTGGGTCGGGTATCACCCTTTTCAGGTTAAATAGGGCTGATTAGATGATTCTGTCCGTCATGTCATCACTTAACGGACTTTTTTGACGGAGTCGGATGGAGACTAACAGAGAGTGACCAAATATGAACGGTTTTACTAATTTGAGTGACCAAGATTGGATTTAAATATTTCTAGTGACCAAACATGAACATTTTTCGTAATCTCAGTGACCAACCATGCAATCAACCCTTTTTTCTTTCGTTTTAATCATTATATTTTATTTATGGCTAAATTGCAAGTTTGGTCACTTGAATTACTAGTAAATTTCACATTAGCCACTAAAATTATTTTATTCCATCCGTAGTCACTTAAATTAGGTTAACAGTCCAAGTTTTGTCACTGGCCGTTAGTCTCCGTTAACTTTTGCTGATGTGGAAGTCAACTCTCATAGTTGACCATTAAATAGGTGACGTGGCCATTAAAAAATAAATTAATAAGAAAATTTAATCTATTAAAAATTCTACCTCATTATCACATTAAATTTAAAATTAATAAAACAAATAATTATTTCCTCCTTCATGTTTCTCTCCGGATCCGACCCTGCCACTGTTCTGCTGGTGCAACTCCGCCACGACGCTTCCAGAACAAGACCGGCGATTCCCGTGAGAATCAGCAATGGTGGGACATAGGCATCATTGACCTGGCTTGGCCTTAAATCAATCGAAGTTGTTAAGATTCAAAGCATTAATCCCCTTCACACTTCCCTTTCATAAATTTAAACGCCAAGAACGTTTATGAAAAAAACAAGTTACAGTCCGGATCTAAGAGTCCTGATTCCCAGTCCTACTCCGGAATGAAAAAGTAAACAGTAATGCCTGGAAAATCATCATGCAAGGAAGCCAGAATGCCATCGTCTGTGTCCTAAAATCGCAACCGAATCTTGAATTTGAAAAAAAAAAAAACGGAAGAGGAAAATTCCAAAACAGAGATGGGGAAGGTCGGAGTTTTAACCTCGAAAGCATGGCGAGCTTTAAATCCCATGAGTTGCAAAGTGCTCTGCACCATCCAACCCATAAACATCTTCCCCATCCTCGTTGCCGACGTGCCTTTGCCCCTCACGAGAGTGAATTAGTTGAGAAACAAAGTGTTACGGTAGTCAATTAAGAAGTTGTGGGAAAAAAGAACGAGCAGAGGGAGTCGTTAATGCGGAAGCGGGTGCGTTGGGCCCATTTGTTGAGGGAATCGGATTCCGGCGATGGGATGGTCGAAGCGTCCGACTTGCCTCTCCCTATTGTCTCTTTGCCTCCTGCTCGTTGACGTGGGAAGCCGTTTCCCTCTTGGAAGATCCGGTGTTTTAGGTATCCGACGTTTCGGTACCCGTCAACGCGGAACTCGATTTTCTAGCCGCAGGTGGTGCGGACGGTGACGAGGAGGAGGTCGGAGAGCTTGAGGACCAAGTATAGAATTTTTTCGCTGGTGATTCCATGGTTGTTTCGTTAGAAAACCAAATGCCACCGCCGGTGCCGAATTCGTTCCCGACGATGTTGATTTGATGTTTCGCGGTGGAAACTCTTGCGGTGCCGATTGAACGGATGCACCACTATTTTCTGACCAAATACCACCGCCGGCGTGCCAAACGACGATGTTGATTTGATCGAATTAATGCGCCACTGACTTCTAATCAAGACGACTGTGACTACGGTTCACACCTCTCCAAACTACGTTCGAACGAGGGTGTTTGAGTTTTTGAGGAATCTACGTTACGACTACTCCTATGGAGATTCCTGTGGAGAGCTCCGCGACTACGCTACGACTATGACTATGGAGATCCTTCCTGGAAGGAGAGCTCCGCGAAGGAGTTACAGAGAAAAAGATAAGTTTGACAGAGTTGTTCTGTGTTGATTTGGTTGTCCCCCTCTCTCTCCTTGCTCCACTGCTTTTATTCGAAAAACTGCTGCGTAGCCTTCACGCTCGGTGGAACCGCTTCCTCAACTGCTCCGTTGTGAAATCCCACGTGTCTCAACTGCCTTGATCTCCTCTTTCTGCTTTGCGTAAAAATCACGTGCCATCGAAACCGCTCCTGTTTGCAGAAACTTGGCGAAACGACATTGAGCCAAATCCTACAACCTTGTCCATGCAACGATGTCGTTTCACCAATACCGCAGCATCACCTTTCACTAATCGATGCTGACAAACAATGTCGTTTTCCATTTCGCGACATTGTTTCTTTTTCAACCAAACGACACCGTTGTGCTTGCCAGGCCTCACCAAAATCCAAACCATTGTGGTATGGTTTTTAACTAAACGACACCGCTTAGTGATACTGCGGCGTTGTTGATGCCTTAAACGGTGTCGTTTTTAACTGAGCAGCACCGCTTGATTCTACCCGCGACATCGTTTTAACATTAAACGACTCCGCTTCCAGCCTTGCGGTGTCGTTTTCTTTCCCAACCAGCTCCGTTTGTTTTTTCTTCCGCGACACGGTTTATTATTAAACATTGTCGTTTGCTAATCCGCGGTACCGTTGGGCCTATTCGCGGTACCGTTTTAACTCTCCGCGATACCGCTTGTCTCCATGCGGTACCGATTTTCCCCTTCCAACAAGGAATAAAAATATTAATTAATTATAAACAAAACTCCATCCCCAACACCTACACTGCGCGGCCCCTCTCCAGTTCCGCGGTACCGCCGAGTTTCCTCGCGGCACCGATTTTCTGTTTCGCGGTACCGTTTTAACTCCCCGCGGTACCGTTTTAACAAATGCCCCCCACAACTTGGTTTATAAAAATTTATGAACCAAGTTGTTGATCCAACTTATATCACCTAAAATTTCATAACAATTAATTCAACTTTGCCGAGACAATACCAAGTCACGCCTGGCCAAAGATGATTAGGAAAAACACGAAAACGGCCTTGCTATGCTGTAAACGGGGCATCATTTATATGTTTTTTTTTTTTTTTTTTGTCGAAGCCAATTACTTTTGGCTTTATATATTCCTGCCTTGTGAAATAGGTCAAAGCAATCCTGTGCCTACTGTCAATACAGTGTCGTTCACTA